AGAAACGGTAAAAAATTACATGAAGCGGGAATCGGAAAGGGCTCATCGGAGGCGGTTTGTAAATTCCCCGTGGCGGCTCCGCGAGGCTTCGCCAGTATTTTTCAGTCAATTGGCTGGTCTTTTCACTTCGATTTGGTCATGGGTGAGCTTAAAATTAAATTTCGTGCAAAAAGGGAAGTTTTTACCTTTTTTGGCGGTTGGAAAAGATTCTAGTGCGGCGGCGGGTGTTGGTGGTCGGCTCCCCGGCGGCTGGGTCGTCTTCTCCGGCGAGGGATTCTGGCAGCTAGGGTTAAGGTTTGGTGTGGATGGGGGTTATTTATACCTATCTATTTTTTATTTGGACCGTCCATTGCGTTTGATCTGTACCGTCCGATCGCGATTAAATAGGGAGTGAATCTAGGTAGTTCATCGCGATCCAATCTAGACCGTCCATCGTGATTCACTCTGAATGTCCGATCGTTTTTGAATCTGGCTGTTCGATTTCGTTCGAGAGGGAGCGCATCCAGATCGTTCGTGCGTGCAGGAACGGACCTCAGTTGTTCGATCACGCGCACGCAGATCGCCCACGTGGGCCCCCGTGTGGCCTCCCGCATCAGTGCCTCTGCCACTTAGCACGTCTTGGTTGGTCAGGGCTGTTGACTCAGTGTCTGACGTGGTGAGACTTTCCAAAATTGTGTTTTGGCTCCTGTTTTTCGATTTTTCTTTCAAAAATACCCCAGAACCCAAATTTTCACCTATTTTTTCCAAAATTATTTTCAATTAAATCTTTCTTACATTTTATTCTAATTTTTACTCTAAATTAAATAAAACAAAATATAATAATACAAAATAAAATAATAAAATAATAAAAATTTTATGTTTATTAATTTTTTTTATTCCCAAAAAAAAAAAATTGTGGGTGTTACATATATAATAAAACTATAGTATTTACTTTGATATATTTTTATAAAAATAAATTCACTAAATTAATTTAAATAATCAATAAATTATATCATGACCTTGTTTACTTCTATGCATGTTGGTCACACTAGTCACGAGATCTTAATTAAATTCTCTTAATATAAGAGATAATATCTTAGGGTAAGACATTATATATAATTTTATGAATCTATGGTCTTGATAAAAGGATGAAGGTCTTTGTTTTTTTTTTAAAGAAAAAATTATTGCAATTGTTACTGAATCATAGAAACTGAATACTAAGGTTTAACATTATTTATATTTTATGTCATTTTTAAGATACTATGGATAAGACAAATATACATGTTAATGGACACATTATTTTTCTTTTATAAATAAATTTAGTATCTTAAGGACCAATAAAGGTTGCTAGATGTCAGTAATGATTTATGGATTCATTAAAAAATTATAACATATTAACATATATTGTTAATAAATATGATTGAACTTAATGAATAAGTACACATGTAACCTAATAGAATTTTTCCCCTAAATGTTGAGTGAACATAAGAATGTTTATTTAAGTAAATCTTAAAGTTTTAAGATAGTGAATTTAATTGATATACAAAACAAGCTACAATCATGTTAAAAGAAAAGGAAATAAGAAGATTGATATGCAAGTGATATATATATATGTATATGTATATATGTATGTATATTATGAATCTATACAATTACCTGGACAGGAAGAGTTGCTACTAATGGGACCAGTAACTCTACCACCAAAAACAACTCCATCAGGATGAGAAAGTGAAACACTTAATAAGCCTGTTTGTCTACCATTATCATCACCAGTAATGGCTCCACTTAGAGAGAGAATTTCAAAGAAGCCCTGCAATTATATGAAATTCATACATAATTTGGGATCTTATATTAAAATAAACAACTTTAAG